AATGGCTATTATTAAAAAGTCAAATAACCTAGGAAAATACTTATACAAAGAGGTGAAAAATCGGCAAAAAACACTGATGAAAGAAATCATTGAGGACACAAACTAGTGGAAAAACATCCCATGCTCATGGATTGGAAGAATCAACGTTATTAAAATGTCCATACTGCCCAAAGTGATTTACAGATTCAATGTGATTCCGATAAAAATACCAATGTCATTTTTCACAGCTCTAGAAAAAACAATCCTAAACTTTATATGAAACAAACAAACAAACAAACAAAGGCCAAATAGGCAGAGCAACCCTAAGCAAAAAGGACAAATCTGGAGGCATCACATTACTGGACTTCAAATTATACTACAAGGCTATAGTAACCAAAACAGCATGGTACCGGCATAAAGGTAGACACATACAGACCAATGGAACAGAATAAAGAACCCAGAAACAAAACCACATAACTATGACCCATTGATTTTTGACAAAGTAGACAAAAGTATACACTGGGGAAAGGACACTCTATTTAGTAAATGGTGCTGGGAAAATTGGATAGCCACATGCTATCCAAGAATGAAACTGGATTCCTATCTCTCACCATACACAAAAATTAACTCAAGAAGGATTACGGACTTAAATGCAAGACTTGTAACCATAAAAATTCTAGAAGAAAACATAGGAAAAACTCTTCTGGACATTGGCCTAGGCAAGGAATTTATGACTAAGACCTCCAAAAGCAAATATAGCAACAACAAAAATAAATAAATGGGACTTACTTAAACTAAAAGTTTCTGTACAGCAAAGTTAATAATCAACAGACTAAATAGACAACCTACAGAATGGGAGAAAATATTCGCAAACTGTGTATTTGACAAAAGGCTAATATCCAGAATCTACAAAAAAGTCAAACAAATCAGTAAGATAAAACAAATAACCACATCAAAAAACGGGCAAAAGACATGAAGAGATGTTTTTCAAAAGAAAATAAATAAATGGCCAACAAACATATGAAAAAGTGCTCAACATCACTAATTATCACAGAAATGCAAATTAAAACCATAATGAGCCATCACCTTATCCCTGTCAGAGTGGCCATTAGTAAAAAGTCAAAAAACAATAGATGTTGGTGTGGATGTGGTGAAAAGGGAATGCTTTTACACTGTTGGTGGGAATGTAAACTAGTATAACCTCTATGGAAAACATCATGGATATTCCTCACAGAACTAAAAGTAGACCTACCATTTGATCTGTCAATCCCACTAGTGGGTATCTAGCTATCCAAAGGAAAAGAAGTTATTTAATCAAAAAGACACCTGTACCCCAATGTTTATGACAGCACAATTCACAATTGCAAAAACATGGAATCAACCTACATGCCCATCAACTGATGAGTGGATAAAGATAATGTGATATACGTATACCATGGAATATTACCCAGCCATAAAAGAGAATAAAATCATGTCTTTTGTAGCAACATAGATGGAACTAGAGGCCATTATCTTAAGTGAAATAACTCAGAAACAGAAAATCAAATACTGCATGTCCTCTCTTACAAGTGAGAGCTAAATAATGTGTACACATGGACATAGAGAATGGAATAATAGACATTAGAGACTTGGAAGGGTGAGAGAGGGTGGGAGGGAGGGTGAGGGATGAAAAAATATTTAATGGGTACAATGTACACTACTGAGGTGATGGTTACACTAAAAAGCCCAGATTCACAACTATGCACTATGTCCATGTGAGAAAACTGCACCTATACCCCCTAAATCTATGTATATATGTTTAAAGACTCTTTTTAAGGCCCTTGGTAGATTTTTTTCAGCTACTTGAAGCCAAAAAGGCATTCCTAAATGAACCTTGTTGTAATTCTAACACACTTACCACAAAAAGAAGTCGTGGCTAGTCGACTTCTCTCCAAAGGTGGTGCCCACTTACTCCACATCCCATGGCAGGCTGGGTAGGTCACACCCTGGTAGAAGGGTTGAAAATAGATTATTTTATTTGACTCCAGTTTCTGTTTGTGTTTAAAAGATGAATGTTGCTTCTTTACACAGGGTACAATATAGAA